AAAAGGCTCTACCTATATTCCGTCATATCATCGAAATCCGCTCTCTTCCGCTCCCTTTGCATCCAGGCCACCAAGCCACGCGGTATCGCGCCTCGTCGGTACTGTTAACGAATCAAATTGCAGATGGCGTCACCCGAGAATACTTCTCTGACGTGAGTACATTACTGAAAATGCCGTGTGTCGGCCGTGTTGTTCCTGTAAAAAAAACACAAAGGGCTCACTTTATAAACTTTATGTCCACGCAGAGTTCTTTGACAAGTCGAGACGCATCGTATAGCACTCTAAACAAATTGTTTTTGCTAGTTTAAAAGTGATTCAAAGCGATGGGGTGAGCTGACAACCTGACTCTTCACCAACTACCTGCACTGCAACCCGTTATGTTGTAGATTGTAACACCGGTGGACTCCTCATTCAAGGGTGGACAGATCGATATTTTGGTTGCAATCGACAACTTCAGACTTGTCCACAAGCTTCGATCCACCTAACCAGCCATCTGTTAATTCCAAATAAGGCAGGCATCCCAGCTCATAATTTTATTATCTTGGTGTCATCACTCGATGCCTAGACACCCTGACTCGCTGGCGGAGAGGAACCATACAGAACCAATGTCCTTGAGACGACGTGACACAAATCATGTAAAGATACATCTTCCCGCCGACGCGTTTATTACGCGAATACGGGCAGTTTTACTGTTAGATGGGAACTCGTGGAATTGATCAAGGCCGACACGTCTCCAGTAGTCATCCCTGTTCGAGGTGAGATCTTCATTCGCCATGCAGTTCATGTGCCGACGAACGACTGGGTCAAAGCTCAGACGTCCGCCGACAAAATCCGACGTTGTGCTTCTGTTGTCGATTGTCTGGTCAATTGAGGACGAGCAAACTGTATCCATATCCTGTCTTGACAGGGAGTGTTTCGGACATACCGGGCCTCTCTTGCGCAAAATCCTCGATTTGCCGAGATGAGGCTCTCAGACTTCTTTCAAGAGTTTGCTAGAACAAATCAGAGACCCTGGAAAATAGCCACAGAAGAGACCGGTAGTGAGATTTGGATATTAAAGCTTGCCATTTACACTATCTCCGGTACTTCGTTATGGCGCAGGGATATGTGGAAGCAACGGTATCTCAGATAGTGCTGACAAAGTGGTCTGAACGAGTAATCCATGATTCATGAAAGTTATAGGCATTCCCGTGCCATGTTTCAGCTCTAACAGACCACCAATCGTACGTTTTATATTGAATATTCAACAATATGCCGTGATACATTGGAACGGAAGTCTCGGAGCAATGCAATATAACTGGGTTTTGAGTATCCCTGGAGCCCGGAACTTCTCAATTTACACGGCAACGGAGATATACCCGATTGACCTTCATAAGGGCTTACAACCTCGGTTGGACAGAAAATTACACATCGTTACAGGAGGGAATGGCAAGTGTGACCTTGGCGACAGTGAACCCTTCAAATAACTAATTCTGATGGGTCTTTGGTGCTTATATATTACTGGTCCGCGGGACGTCACCGAAGAGCCTTCAAATCGTTGACATTCGCGAAACTGACCGTAGCGATATACAAACTGGTCTAGCCCCCGAAGTCGACGTTATACGGACTGATATAACGTCAGTAACATCCACTGAAACATCGTCCAAGAAACCATGAGAATTGTTAATACAGAGCTTGATACTTACCGCTTCCCATAAAGCTGCTATAATTGTACCACCTACTCGGTCAAAAGCACTTCTATGAGTTCTTTACGGAGCCAATTTCCAGGGAACAAAAAACGTCTTGGCTGCTGCTCGTGTAGTGAGTACCACTGTCTTTAGCTCAACTCCATCAACCTCGATTGTCGTTCAGCCTGTGGACCATTGAGCCAAGGAACTATTGGCAAGTATCCGACATTCAGGATTTTTACAAGCCCCTACAGCGACAAGAAGATTAACTCGGGACCTATGGAATTTCGAAGGCAATTTTAGAAAGACTAGTTTGTGCCGAAAACGATGTGTTTTGTCGTGCCTGCCCTGCGAATGACATATATGAACATCACGTAGATAATCATGTATCGTTGGCTGGAAAGTTGCAAGCATCTGGAAGTTTCGTACCTGTATGAATACAGCATAATAGAAACTAACCAGCTATATTCACTTCTAAATAACATCGAATGAAACTTGTACTGTGAGATAGTTTGCCATGATAAATGAAGTTGGAGTTCGTAATGCTTCCTTCAGGCTTGACCGTTTCACATCCAAAGGAGAGACTAATGAGTTGCTATGTATATTTCGATTTCGTATATTAATTAAAACGTTATATCATATCTGTATTTTGCCATAATCCATCATTGTTTCAATGGACTACTGACGCCCACAACTTGCATATGAACACATCATCATATCCCAACGTTGCATCATGAAGGAAAATAGGAATAGATGTTACAAGCATCTATTACATCGAAGAACCGTGGCCAGCCAATCGAAGTCTGGAGATCAGTACTTGAACCGAGGTTGATCGGTACCAGTTGCACGCTTGTTTCTCCAGACGTAGTAAGCATGCATACCGAGACAGCCTACAGTCACAAAGAGAAGTAGACCGGCATTAACCCAGTGACCGGTCGGATAACCTTTGGCCGCTTCGTCAGCCTTGTAGATCCAGACGCCGACGATTTGTCCAGGGGCACCCATGGAGATGTTCAACGCAATGGCCAGACCGATGGCAGCTGTGGAGTGCAAGTTGGACGACAACCAACCCAAGAGAGGCGGAATACAGGCAAACGAACCACAGGCTGCAACGATCAGACATCCATAGCGAGGCTGAACATGGTCAGTAACTGTTTGAGGTCATAATCACAGAAGACTTACGCTGTAAGAATCAGCAGGGAGCGATGCGGAAGCAATGAATCCCACGGCTCCAATCAAAGAAAACACCGCAGAATGAAGTGCACGGCTAGGGAGATGTTAGTTTCGATGATCACATATTGCATGACTCCAGCACTCACGCATTGTACTTGTCCGCAGACCATGAAACAAGTAAAGTCACAACATAGGCCGCTGCGTAAGGAGGCACGGTCATCAGCTGGGCTCGGAGATCTGCAAACTAGAGATAGTTAGTAAGAATCTCGACTGGCGGTAAATCATGTACATACTCCTAGACCAGCAGTAATCGAAGGCGTGAAAAGCGACAAGCTCGAAAAGGGAGCAGAAATGCCAAAGTAGATCTGTTCATATTAGCGAAGAGTCGTTTGTCTGCCAAGTGTTGAAACACATACCAGATAATGGCACCACAGTCTCCATTCCAAGATGGTTGACTTTGCGTCCTCCCATGTCATGGACTTGCTATCACCGTGCGACCCTTGCTCAGCCAGTCGGTAAGCTGCCACGTCTTTCTCCTCAGCAGAGAGCCAGCTCGCTGACTCGGGGAAATCAGGGAGACAGAACCACACCAGGAACGATGATAGTACAGAAGGGATTCCTTCGAGGATGAAAAGCCATCTCCAACCGGAAAGACCGTGCACTTGGTTCATGTGCCCAACACCGTATGCAATAGCACCACCAAACGCTCCGGCAAGGGTTGCTGATGCTAAGATGGTTGCAACTCGGACTGATCGTTCCTCGGGCTTGTACCAGAAAGTGAGATAGTAGACGAGTCCCGGGAAAAGGCCTGAGTCAGTTAGATGAAAGGAAGTTCATTTATATCGTTATAAGACTCACCAGCTTCGAAAACTCCTAGCAGGAAGCGCAAAACAGTCACTACAGCAAAGCTATGAGCAGCACCAAGACAAATGGTGATTGTTCCCCAGGAAAACATGAGAAAAGCGATCCATCTGCTGGGTTTCATCTTTTTAAGGAAATAATTGGATGGCACCTCGAATAACGCATAGGCGATGAGGAAGATCATCAGTGCAATTGTGAAGTCATAGTTAGACATATTTGTCTCGGAGAGAAGATCATGACCCGTGGTATGATTGAGGACTTTGGCATTGCCAATATTGGAGCGATCCAAATAACACAGCAGGTAGATACCTGCTGCTAAGGGAATAATACGAGCATCCTGCTTGCGTATGAGAGCCTTCTCAAGAGCTGGATCGACTGCTATAGTGTTCTCAAGCCGAGAATCGGAGTTTTGCTTAAAGAGAGTCAGTTGGGGTTGCTCGGAGAGTTAGAGGCTTGGGGTAGTGCCACCTTTTCGTCTGTCTGAGAACCAGCCATTTCAGGGTTAGCATCAAAGTCGGTTCGCGCAGCCATCTTGACGTTCACAGATGAAGAGCTTGAGAGACAAGAAGGGATCCCCTGAGTGAGGATCTAGAGAAAACTCTTGCCTGTAAGGTGAAGGATGAGAAGAGAGGGGAGAGATGCTTAAGCGAGGTCCAAGGATTCGCCCATCTCATCTCGCGGTACAGCGGGAGGGAAACTGTCCCCGCAATCGCTGCACCTACGGCTTGACCAGATTCATATAACGATCTGCATCTTTTCATGCCGGGTTCATGGTTCTCGGTGCCGGTCTCCGACGCCGAGTTCTCTAAACCTTAAGGGTCTAACTAAGCGGTGAGAAACATGTAAAGAGAAGTCGTTGAATGGTTCGGCTCAAGTCATGTACAAATTGAGTTGTGGATGTTTGGACAGGGAGATCATCACAGGCCCTCTAGCGGTGTGGAGTACTGTAACCGTTGCTAATTCCCCAACGCCAAGTCCCCTAAATGTCCGACACACAAGCCACAAGTTTGCCATAGCTTTTGGAGTTGAAGTTGACAATCACGACCTCGAAAGCAAGATCAACAACTAAGAGATAGTGGCTGAGAGTTATGAGATTCGAGGCTCAGATCACAAGAGTCTTTTCATGGCACAGGAAGTACACACTATATTACTCTTTGTTATGAGTAGTAATGTTGTAAACTCATGTTGGATTGTCACGGAAGAGAGCATGTTGAAAAGGACAGCCATGCTTAGAGAACAAGATCAACAGACATATTATTTAACAAGAGAAGAAAAAAGATGACCAAAAAAAGAAGATCCTAGCAACTACTCGTTTCGATCGAGCGACCTCCGGGTTATGAGCCCGGCTATGTGTGTGTTAGTAAAGAGTCGTACTCTGAGAGGCTTGAGATAAACATACCGCGCTTCCACTGCGCCAAGTTGCTTTCTTGGATGTGAAAACGCCGTCGTAATTTGGTCTATACAGTCAAGGCATTTTGTGCGGTCCATCAGAATGAGTCACGGATCCTCAGTGGAGATTTGCCCTGAGTGGAGTGCAACATGTTTGAGTCAGGGTAGGACAGGACAAGACGAGTGGATCATGAGCTCAGTTCAACATGTTGGACGTCTATAGTGAGTTATGAAAATAACATAGAACTTCATCATGTGATATTGGCACGAAATCTTTCACTAACTAGCATCCGTGATGCTTAGTCCAAGTTTGGCTACCCAAATCTTAACATCCGCTGCTAGGCATCTGCTCATGCAAGTCACTCGACGGCCTGTGCCTTTTCTTCTTCTGGCTTCTGGGCATAAACAACATAACTAGAAAGTGCGTCAGTCTCAGCATTACATCTACTGACGTGGAATTCCAAACCACAGGATTACTTACTAAGGCCAATAACCATGCATGCGAGGATTCTTTATCTCCTTTCTCAAGAATGCCAAAAAGACAGTCACCTCAGCATCCGTCCAGCCAAGTCCCTTCTGGAACATCCTAGTCACCATCGCCTCAAGTCCCTGCAGGAGATTCTCCATCTCCCATGCTCCCAGTAGCTTCATGCGTGGATCTTTGGGCCATGGGTTGAAGGGAAGCTTAAAAACTCGTTCTGTAACATTGGTGTAGCCGCGCTCTTCGAACCAACCTTTCCACTTCATGGGGTCTGTAAGACAGGCGCCGAACTTGGAAGAACCCTGCTCCATCATGGTGGAGAATTTGCGTAGGTAGCTGTCTTCAGGGATTGAGTCGTCATCGCACCCAAGAACGCCAACGATGGCCTGAAACTCCACCCAGCCTCCGGGTTGGAGGTGTCTTATCCGCTGTCAGTTACTCCAATACGCTTTGGCAAGGATATGAATGCACACACGTGTAAGTTTGGTCGATCAATGCTGGCCAATCCCGAATTGCGAGCAGGAGATCTCGGGAGAAGATAAAGTCAAAGCTCTCTTCTCGCCATGTCCATATTCTCTCGATATCATCGACCTCGAAGTGACAATTTGGGGGAACCCTGGAGCGACTTAGCCTCACACAGAATGACTCACGATATCATTCACTCACCATCCAGGTTGTGTTGGTGCAACATCGGTGCCAATGACCTACGTTCCGTGAGTAACCTGGCTCAGAGCATATCTAGAAGTGATTTTCCGACAGATAACTCACCTCAGCAGATGGAAACTCCTCAGCCATCTCGATGGACCATATACCTAGAGTCAATGTTAATGATACGGTCTCTTTGTCCGAGATGATACGAACCTGTGCCACAGCCAAGATCAAGAATTCTTTGAGGGCTATTTACGGGCGCTAAATAGCGAGTCTTCCCAATGAGAGCGCAGTACTTTGCGTGACACATATCGATGCGATCAAGCTCAGCCTCGTCCATTGGGAGTCCATACTCTGTCAATGTTATCAGTGGAGGTTTAGCACATGCTTCAATATAGCTCACCTTCTTTACCGTAGACGGCATAAGTCCTCCCCCCCTCAACTTTACCCTGTAGAATAGATGAAGTGAGAGACGTCAACGAGGACCGTTCGCTATCGGTATCAAAGGTCTATAAACCAACGCATATTGGTTAGTCGGTGGGGACAACAGTTTAAGCTGCATCAAAATGGCCCACTAACCTCATCATCCGCGATAGGCTGTAGGGCCTAAACAGGGTAAGCCGCTGGTTAATTCAAGATCCGTCACGATAGGCTAGGTCGCGTATTTACATGGTCAGGCTGGATAACCTCTTCTTGGTTGTTGCGAGGAGAAGACATGGTCGAAACTGCTGTATCCAGATCGTCTGCGCACCGGATGATCAAGAGTGGACATTTGAGAAAAGGGCATGGGGGTTCCAACACTGAAGAACTGCTCCAATCCTCGCCACTACGATTCTACCCGATAGTGAAATGCCAAGTCACTCTATCGGGTCTACAACTCCATTCGTCTGTACATCCAACTGTGCCGCGTCAACAATCCCACTTGTCAAAAGAATAACAGTTTGATTGGGCCTGAGTTGCAAGGTTGAGGCATTTTGCCAGGGGTGAACGGCCTCGGCTCAGTGCCTATCCGCCGGTTAAACCTGTGCAACAAGGAAAAAACTCGCATCACCACTGCCATCAACTGATGTCATGTTGAATGGGGCTTAACTTTTACTTTACCCCGCCTGTTGGTTCTGTTAAGTAAATATTGCTACGTGGGCATGGTGTCAAAGATATGCGGACGCAGAGACTATCTCCATAAATCTGCGCAAATTCTAAGACACAGATGTGATAGATAGCATCTAACTACCTCTTAATAATCTTCGTCTAGTAGATCCTAGAGCTCAATATGGTTCACCCCAAAGCTGAAAAGGCACTGCAGGAGGCCAAAAGGCTCGTAGCTCAACTAGAATCGTACGACGACGACCCCATAACTCACCAAAATGTCCTCAAGCAGACAGAGGCCGTTCGCTTAGCCATCCAGTCGCCCATGGACCGCATGACACATCTGATGGAGCAAATCAGTTTTTGTGGTGCCTTCCATACCATAATTGGGATTCGAGCTTACCATGCCATGCCGGCAGATGACAGCTCAATTACCGCAGAAGAATTGGGACGGATTACCAATGTGGCTACGACGGTGATCGAACGAGTGTATCGGGTCGCCATCAGCCATGGTGTTTTCATTGAGACAGCACCCGACACTTACGCTCACAACGACTTGTCACGAATTCTGAACCCAAGGGGCCTGGGGTCGTTCTTCCTCATTGTTGTCGAGTTTGGTCGTGGGTTCATCCATCTAGCCGACTACTGCAAATCGCACCAGCCAGAAGATATCTTTGATTTGACCAAGTCACCTGCTGTGTACTCAGTCGGAAAAGAACATCTCGGGAAATCCTACTATGAGCTGCTGGATATAGACTCTGACCCTGAGCGTCGCGAGCTTTGGAATGCCAACATGGTTGCTGTTGATGAGTTGATGCCAGTTGTTGGCATGTTCCCATTCGCCTCTCTAAAGGAGGAGGTTGAGCAGGATCCAGGTCGACCATTCTTGGTTGATATCGGTGCTGGTCGTGGACAATCATGCATTGCTATTCGCAAGGACATTGGCGATGCCTTTGATGCCAAGTATATCCTACAAGACCTCCCAGGCGTTATCAATACCATGGACCCAAAGGACTATCCAGACTTTGAGTTGATAACTTATGATGCCTTTACACCCCAGCCTGTTAAAAGTACGTACTCCCACCAAGATCTCTGGGTCTTTAATGCGACATGACGAGATTCTAACCTTTCTATTTCATCACAATAGATGCCCGTATTTACTTCATGCGCCGTTTCCTACATGATTTTTATACACCTGTTTGCATCGAGTTCGTCAAGAATACCGCGTCAGCCATGGGCCCTGATTCCCGTCTCATCATATGCGATCAGTTAATCCCCGACACCGTAGAGCAACAGGAGAATGTCGATCTCTATTGGCTTGACTTGTCTCTTCTTTGCATGTCGGGCCAGGAGAAAAAGAAATCCGAATTCGAGGATATTTTGGAGGCGGCAGGTCTAGAACTTGTCAGAATTTATCCTTCTAGTTATGGATGTACTGTTATGTTAGAGGCAAGGCTCAAGAGATCGGGTTAGTGTGAGGGAAACAACAGGGAATAATAGCACAAGAATGCGCTACACTCATGAAAGTTACTTTTTCTTAAAATTACATATCCAATTATACAATGACCTTGAGGAATTGCGAAATCTCGCGCAAATGCCAAGATAGTAATGGACAATGCACCTTCGCATGTAACTTGTCATGCCAAAAGCGATGTCATCTTGCTCCGATCTTTTGATTGCCATGTCGCTTTGATGTTGAAATATTGTATGATTTCAAGGTCTCATGTTGCTGGCAGGACAACCCAGTCGTGGCACAGCATAATCATCCGAGCTTCAATCACACACTCGCCTCATCATATGCAACCTTAGCTCGGACTCTTGTCCAATCTATCTTCGCATTAGCGTGATGTCTCAAAGGCCAGTGATGTAGTGTTACCTGCATCACCATCTCACAAACACGGGTGTGATAATGTCACCTGCACTTTGCTACAGCCACCATCCGTGTGAGCCCAAACTCTAAATATGGAGGAGGGTCAACCTGGTTCCCGGTTCTTGGCTTGAAATCAATGGTTAGCGTCTGACCTTGAGGAAGTGACAGGCGGTTCTATTCTTGGGCACAGGTATCAGGAACATCCTAGCATCGTCTGGCTATCTAGAATACGGCATTTCAGTTTGACTTTGGTAATCATCACTATAAGGAACTAGGCATATATGCTAAGTTCATGATACTACAAGGGTTCTTCTACGTAATAAATAAGGTTTGTCGGCAGTTAACATTCAGTACACTAATTTTTGACCCAAACAAGAACGGGGGCTTCATGCACGGTCGACAAGATATGTGAAATGAAGTATACGCTGTATTTAGAGAAATTCTAGTAGGACGTGATGTCGCTTGGTGTATCCAGTTGTAGGATAAGTCTGTAAATATATACATAGAAGATCATAGTCTTATGATCGTCGCCCAAAATGTACCCTTATTATATAACCTCGCAAAGAAAATATTAAGTCTTAAGATTGATTAGGAGATCAAACTGTCACCTTAATCGTGCTAGCAACACTGGGTACTCCAGCATTGTTGAGGACGAAAAGCATCCAGTATCCTGGTAGCGCGATACCAGAGTCGTTGGGGATCTTGAAAGAGTACTTGTTGGTGCCAGCTCCGGTCAGCGCCAATGGAATGCGTCGCTGATCAGTGTTGACAGTGTGTGTAGCAGTGCCGTAACGGATCAAAGAGGCACTCTTGATGGCGCTGTTAGCGGTAACAGTGATGGTGCTGCCGATCTTGGCAGTGGTGGCTGAGACAGCAGTGATCTTGGGACGGGTAGCAAGGTTGCCATTGCCATCGAGAAGGTACTGGGGAGTGTAGATCTGAGCGTCAAA